AAAAAAATTCATATAATTCCATTTAAAAAAATGATCATGACCTTCAAATAACCTTGAAAATGAAGGTCAAGGTCATTGTCAAGGTCATAGTTCTATCAGCCCCTTCATATCCAACAATTTTTGTTTTAAACATTTTTTTATTTAATCGCGATGTTTCGAGTTATTTGGCTGTCTAAGTTAAAATGGGTCACCCTGTATATTAATTGAATTAATGTATATACATATAAATTACATATCATATATATAAATACACAGTTTTTATATATATATATATATAAATGCAATCAATATATATAATTTAGTAAAAATATATTAATTAATATATATTAATAAAGTAAAAATAAATATATAATATACATTAATGAACTAAAGTAATATAATAAACTAATATTAATAAACTTATACATATAAATATACATACGCATATAGACACGCGAACTTGTGTGTGTGTTAAAAGTATTATAATATACATAATATTTTACTCGCTATCTTATTGTTCCCATTTATTTCTTCTACAAAAGTAACGACATTTAAAATTGCATCAGTTGGGAAAATGAAGAATTTAATGCTACATATGCAAAGTCTTTAAAAAGTCAAAGATTTTTATATAATCATTAATAAATCTTTTTAATTAAGTGATGAATATGTTTTTGTTAGATAATAGAAAGCATGATGTTGCGTCTGAGAAATGATAAAGAAATCTGTAAGGAAAAAGAAGATGAAGAACAAGGCGATAATACGTTGTATGTTTTAACCTTTTGTGTATACATCGATTTGTCTTTATTAAAACCTTTTATAAGATACATATCAAAAATTATACTGTATTTAATATTATGTAATTAACGTCACATATTTATTCTTTCGGTAACGACGACAAGTTGTAAATACACACACACACACACACACCCACACACACACACACACACACACACACACACACACACACACACACATGCACGCCCACATACGTACACGTGTTCTAGGCAATCATTATAAAAATGTTAAAATCCGATTGGGATTTCCAATTAGCAAATTTCAAAATATGTGGTATTTACTCTTGTGCAAAGAAATAAATAATAACGGGTTTTCCTTATTACAGTGCGAAAGTTCAAAGATAACATTAAAGTTAGAGCACAGAAATGTTTGTTAAAGAAAAAGAATGTTTTAGAAATTTGAAATTTTTTTTCTGAAAATCAGAAATTTCTATATTTTCTATTAATATATACATACATATTATACAGAGTAACGTTTAACTTATACCAGCTACAATAAAATTCGTATACTAATAATGACAATCATCAATTTTATTGTATTATGAATTCATATCTGATTTTATTGTATTTCCTGAAGATAGAAGCTGTAAACAACATTTTTTATCTTATCCATTAATTTTTATAATAATGAGAAGATACAAAAAAGTAATTAAAAGGCTAATTTTCGAATTGTTTCTTTTATAAAATATCAAGTTTAAAAAAATGAGAAAAAATTGCCCATTTACAGTCATATATATATTTTTTAATCGTGTAAATAATTATATTTGGGCAATTTTTTCTCAGTTCTTCAAACTTGAATTTTTATAAAAGAAGCAATGCGTAACTTATCCTTTTAATTATTTTTTATGTCTTCTCATAATTATTTTTTTATATAAAACAATTATTAATTAATTAATTATTTATGGACATATGTATTTCATAATTATATATATTTTTATGTAAATTATATAAGTTTATACATATTTATGTTTTTATATAAAAAATCTTGTACCGGACAGTATTTCATTAGAGATAAATCAATCATTAATCTGTCGATCATAAATCATAACATTCATAATCATTAATAGACGTGCATAAAATAATATTATTTTTACAATACAACATACAATTAAAAAATGTAAAATAGAAAAAAAGCACTTTGATTCTTTCAAGAGTTCAGATTAATTAATCCCTTCAAGTTCAAGAAATTTTTCTTTACTATACATATATCAATTATTTAATACGCCAGATGTAACATTCGCTGCATCGTCAACCTGCAAAACATACATTATGCGCATAATTATATCTTATAAATTACCTTTAGTGTTATAAAGTCTATAAGCAGAGAATAATCAAACTCCTACTAAACAATAGAATGCCATTCTTTTTGCAACACTCCCAACAAGATTGCGATTTTTCGAACAATTAAAAAACGCCAAGAATTATCAATCACATTATTAGGTACATAATAATGTTTTATAAATCATTTTTTGTATTGGAAAAAGAGAATAATCAAACTTTTACTTCAAATTTTATTTTCATTTAAAAAAAATTAAAAAATGTCTCTAGTCCTTAGATCAAAATTTTCCAAATGATAGTTTAGAGATCTATTGTCTTCGAACACGGGTTTGAAAATATCGCGCCGTTTTCGCCGATTGGCCGATCTTGCACCAATCCCACGGGGTCACGAAGGCACGGCTGCGAACGTATTATACGAGCGAAGGCGACGACCAGGGACCAGCGACGACGATTGTAATGGTTGGAATGGGCCGAGCGTAAGTCGTTCAAGTCGCCCGAAGCTGTCAAGCTGCGTCACGCAGTCGTAATCCAGCTCTTCCGTCCATTCCCGTTTTTCTCGATCGACGACGGTGAGTAACGTGCATCTTTCGACAGATACTTTCGTCCTTCCGTTGACGACGATCCGTCATCGATCGTTCATTTGGGTCGCGTCTTGCCTTTTTTTCTCTTTTTTTTCCCTTTCCGTTTCGCGCGCGATAGTGTCGATGCGATAAGTCGCGACGCTCGTCGTCCCGCGACTTCCCGTTCAACGGCGCTTTCGCAATTCGCGCCGTCCGTCGCGACGCATTCGTGTCATACCATACGGACGCGAGCGATGGAGCTATATTTCTCTCTCGTCGCCCGCAAATTACTGTGGGGATATCATCGCTCTTTCGCGCGGGCGGAGAAAACGCGGAAACGAGGCGGGCCGCGCGGAAAATCGCGATTCTCGCAGCTCACAGCTGTAATCCTCCCCCTCCTCGCTCCGCGTATCGCTATGGTTGTGATATCTGTGTTCCATTTGGCACTCACTGCGCATAGAGCATCACTTATCCTTGTTTAACACTTGATAAGAAGAACCAAGGCGAATTTTTTTAATTCAATTATACAATTTTTTTAACTCGCATTATACAACGCAAATGCAACTTTTTTCTGTAAAAACTGCATTTGCACATAATACGATTGATCAATCGTTGAATTAAAAAAAAAACCCGCCTTAATTTCAAGAGCGCTGTGAGCATCAAATGAAATAGCTCATGTTTGTTTGCGTTGCTTGGAGCCTCCAGAAGTTTTACACTTCTGGAGAAAAATGAGATATTAAGTGTATATTCGGACTCGTTGAGAAGGGAGAAAGCGAAGATGCTGAATGCAAAAAGTGCACAAGCAACAGGAGACTTAAACCAGAAACGTAAAAAACATAAGCAATAATCAAAACCTACTTTACGTTCTCTACTGTGATTGCTTAATTTTTATTGCCTTACATTTTTTATGTGTTTCTAACTTTACTAATTACGGTTCTTGAGACGAGGTGAAAATTATAAAAGTGAACAAATTTACTAGGTGATGACCGATAAAGTTATAAATATTTTAATAAATTCGCTCATTTTTGTAATATTAAGACTGTTCGCGTTGGTTAAAATCTCCAAAAATTTTTCCCTTATAAGGAGTTAAATATATATTTGGATGTTGGAACGAGAGAAAGTGAAGATGCTGAGTGCAAAAAGTACAAACAACTCGAATAGACCCATTATTATTTAGTTTCAAGAACTGTAATAAGTCCCTGTAAACTTACTGTTCAGCTTTCTGCGAACTGTGACAGCGTGATGCGCGCAGAGACGAGAAAAACTCCGATTGCGAATCGCTCGCTCGATATACACGCGGAAATGTTACAGCAGCCGCGTTGCGTAAATAAGGTTTTACTTGAAAGAATTCCGTCTTTCTAACAATGCTCAAATAACGGCAATCTAATTTCTACATTTTGCGCTGTCATTCAATTTGCGACACGATTAATGTCCATTTCTATCAATGTAGATTAACTTTAATCTCAGGTTAATTTACTCTTTATCTTTTTCTAATTTTTAGAATTAGATAAACATTAAGTTAAATCGAGGTTAAGTTAATTTACGTTTAAAAAAAATGGACATACACGGAGTTATTAATGGAGTTATTAACGTGTTTGCACGTTTGTTTAACGAGTCTCAATTGACGTTTGCTATAGGATTGGAAATCGGTATCGTGGATCGTTCTTTTATTGTAGTTCTAATACGTGCTGTAAATTAATGTTGCGTATCGCAGTAATTTATGTGTAAATATCGATGATTTTCTCATTATTTAGAGTATCTACATTTCTTTAATACTCTTCCGCGATTTATGACTTCCTTTGGCTAATCTTGCAACACATCCTCTATGAACTTTCTAAACTTTCAAGATAATAAAGTTTTATATGCCATTTAATAGCAATATTTTATCTTACATATAATTTTGAAAACTCACAATATGTACATTGTATTAAAAATAAACTAAAACAATTTATATTACAATAAATTTAACTAGAAGTCCAGTATATTAAATTTCTAGAAAAGAGGATAATTTGCCCGCGTTATTCAATGTCCTTGAAATTGTGAAACTCGATAATACAGTAATTTCAACTTGGACGTGTTTTAACGAATACAAAAAAATATATATTTTATTATTGCGAGTTTAAACTTGCTCGCAATATCCTGTTAAGGAATATTCAAATTCGATTTTTCTGTGACAAATTGAATCGAACGAACATTCTACTTTTATCTTCCGTGCGAGGGTATTGTTTTAAACAAATTGTCATTAGATTGACTGTCAAGCTGATTTCGAGGTATATTGAGCTTAATAAATATTATATATTAAGTATTTTATTGTTTTTTTTAATGTCTTACGTTAGTATAATTTATATTATTTTTTTAATGACTTAAATATTTAGTAAAATTATTTTTAATTTTTAATTAAAACACAAATAGGTGATGGGACTTTCGCAGAAATTTGCGTTACACCCAGATATGGATGACGTGGAAGTCAACATATTAAATAAAATAAACACAAACTCATCACATAAATAAACATATAAATCATTAAATTGATAAATGTATTCTCGAGCTCGAAAACGAAATGACGCAGTATCTCTGTCATTGGAAGAAATAAGTTTTGTGAAATATTTAAAATAAAGTGTAACGCATCCATGTGCACGATAAACGGTACTCCAACCTAGCAATTCCACCGATAATTTACACTGTGTAAGTTCGCAACATTTATGTCGCATTCGTGAGATATTTTCTAATGTACAACCGCGTATATCGTATCAAGTCAGATAAGAAGTCAGGTATTATATCCTTCTCCTCGCTCACACAAATGCGAGCAATTATCCCGCTTTATATGGGATATCCTTGAAAATGACAATTGATAATGCATTTTAGTTTAGCTTTTTGAAAAAAAATATAAAAACACATCTTGTTACTTCGAATCTAAACTCTTTCAATCAATTAATATTCTAACGTTCAATATTAAATATGCAGAAAAATTAATTAAGATAATTATTTGCGCTATATGTTTATGTTCTGTATACTTATATGTAATTCTCTGAAATTCTACGCTAAATTACTTCATGTAATTGCGCGTATTAAATTTATAAAGAATTGCTAAAATGTATTGTTTGTTGGTGAGTCTCTCACTTCTTTCTTTTTTGCGACGTTAATATATTGCTCCGTGTTTATATAAAAATAACCGACCATAAATAAGAAATAAGTTACACGTTTCGCGGATTATCGATGGCAAAAAGCGTTCGGAACGTACGGCGGAAAAACGTACATTGCGCTCGAGGTGAAAAAGAAACATTGACGTGTCTAATAATCGCGATAATCAAGGTAATTTCTTAATTGTTGTGTGCAGCGGCAGATTTTGCGGAAGGTCACCCACCTACCACGATGAGCGACGAAGGATTCGATCCCTGCGAATGCATGTGGAATCACATGTCCGTGCAACATCTGCTTTCTATCGTAAGTAATACACAAGAGAGAAAATAAATAAAAAATAAATAAAAAAAATATAAGTTCGTCAGATTGATATATGTCGTGATATAAGATCGCAGTCGGATAATGGACGGCAACGAAGGACACATCTGCTTTTCCTTTTTTTTTCGCGTTTAGGTTTCTTTAGGCCAAACAATAAACGAGGTTTCTTGGACGACCTGTAACGCAATGACTTCTTCTGTTTAGCTGGCAGAAATTCATTGCGCCACGCGGTTACGTAAAAATGTTTCAATTACGTAAGTCGATTGCCGATGCATGATACATTACACAAATCAAACATGAGGACGTCGAATTATAAAGATTCGAGTGCAAAAAAGAAGACCTGTTCGCTTCTGGATTAGTTTTTAAGTATGCACTCCGTAACGAATAATTCTTGTTAAAACGTGAAAAAAGTATACATAAAATATGAATGTGACTTTTACGAGACACATAAATGTATCGATGTATATATGTATGTATATATTGTGTATACATGTAAAGGCATACACTCACACAAAAGTCAAATCCAATCTTCACATTAATAATAATTAGTATAATCAATAATTGAGGGGATTGGCGGAATAAAGGCACAATTCCACTTAGGCCCTTTTTCCGGAGATTAGCGCAAATAAACAAGGAATTGATATTGCTTACATTAGTTAAGTATGAACGTGTTTCGATTGTCTTGTGGTGGTGAAAATGATATAATCTATGGAAAAAGGGCATAAACGATTTAAAATCATTAATGAGATTTTTACCAGAGAATTTTTAAACGAAAATAATACAACAATAATATGTTTTCATTACAACATATTTATGTTAAAAAATCTTACGAAAACTCATCAGATGATGATTGAACATTATTTCAATTTATTTTGTACAAGTAAAGTAAAATGTATTTTATATTCATTTTGTATTTCTTCTAGAAGAATGTGAAAATAAAAAACGTTTCTGCAGTTTATAGTCTTTTCTTTCTGTTGATTCTTACAATATTATGATCAATATTCGGAAAAAGGGACTAAATGCATTTTTTAAATTGCAAATAACTTTTTAAATATTGATCATAATAGAGAAATATTATAACATATAACTTCTCGAAAACATTATATAAATATATATTTAATACCGTTCCTATTTGTAGTATAATAAAAAAGTAACAAGTTATTTTAAACAATAAGATTGAAAGACCGCTAATGTTAACTACAATGCTTTAAATTAAGAAGCGCCATAACGGTCAAAACATGGAGATGTTGAACTATTGTAAATTCATTTAAATGAATTAATTTCAGAAATTATAACGCGTCCCGATATGGTTGTCGGACGTTTATTACAGTTTTTAAGTTGGGAAATTTGGGGGGATTATTAATATTTTCAGATTTGATTGCGTTGAAAATCTCAACGTTCTGACCGTTATGGCGCTTCTTAATTTAAAGCATTGAAGTTATTTTAATTTTTATCAAAATTGAGATTTTGTAATTAGGCCTTTATTCCACCCATCCCCTCAATTGTTATATTTTTTCACATATTTATCACACTTACATTCGCATCGATGAACATCTGCAGCAAATATAATTACTTGTCTCACTGCTTATATTTTGCAAATAAATTTTTCCATAAATTGTATTTTACTGTTCCAGTTACGACAATCCCAGGATTATTGTTCGGATACTGAGTGCTTCAGCGTGTCGAGATGTAGGTATTCACTATTTACTACTAAAATCTTCTAATTAATATTTAATGTACTGTTCGAATTGTTTCCTACAGTCGGTTTCATCAACATAGCCAATTAAGTTTAACTTCAGTTTAAAGTCCGTGGTTTCTTTACAGAACTGAAAACAAATAAAAGTTTAATAATTTAAGATACGTGAATTATGTATTAGATATAATACTAAATCACACAATTAGTTGTTAAAAAAGAAAAAAATAAATTTTCTTTTTAGTTCCAGGACCGCAGACGAATATACGGGAATGTTCAGACTTCCTCTTTACTTGTTTAATTATTGGCTTCATCGCTCTCTTGTACGCATTTAGACCGAGATCTCTGCGACATTCGACCAGGAATGTTATCAACAAGAGCAGCAATGAGCCCGTGAGTGTGCGTTGATTGTACATTATTGATGAAAACTCAAAGACGTATTTTGAGCATACTTTATTTGCAGGGTTCACATGGAGACGGTCCGCCTTCGCCGACGGTGAATTAAATAGTGCAGTGCAATATCATCAAGGTTTTATATATCAAGATCTGCGCTAAACTTATAACAGAAATAGGAGACGGTATGATATATAAATATGATATTAATAAATCTAACGCGCGTTAGCGAGATATATCAGTTTGATTTTTAGAGAGAGAGAGAGATGTAACCTCCTTACAACTTGGTAATCTCAATTTTACACGATGTATCGCACGTATGCGTCTTTCTCTTTAAACTCTTTCTCTAATAATCTCGTACCGAGATTATATGTATAAGCATGATATAAAATAATTTTATCTCGACTTTTTAAAAGATAGTGAAGTTTAACGGTTACATTTAACATGAGATCTTTAACGTTCTAACATGTTCGTTTCTTGAGAGGATAATAACGGTAATTAATAAAATAACAAAAAACTCGCTCACGCGCAATAATAATAATGTATTGTACGCGAATATAATTTAAAATTTTTACTATGAAAACGATAAAAAGATTAAGTACCTGCGAACGAATAGTCATGTAATGAAATTATTTACTTGATATTTATATTTGAAAAATTATATAAAAAGTTGATAGAATCACAAAATCTAATTTGGTGTATGAAGAAGAATCTTCCACGTATGAATATCGAATATACAATTATATACTATATCTGCTGTAAATGTTTCAATAGTAAAATAATATAAATAATTGAGAATTTCAGATTTTGTCAAGAAACAGTATTTATACATGTATTTGTTTTGTAACGCACGATTGTAAAAAAAGTAAATGATTAGAAATGCATCTTTTTTCTGTGCAATAAAATTACTAAATATTGAAAAATTAAATTTTGTTATCCACACAAAAAAGAAAGAGCATAGTTTTATATTATCTAATATAATATATAGTTCGTATAATATAGACACACACATACACACAAATACACACGTAGATGCATGCACACATAAACAACACATACACTCATATTATTCAAACAAAGTGGAGATATTTTGTCACACATCGAACGTTTTACACAAATTAAAAGTTATAGATTTAAAGATATTGTATACAAATAACGTTACATATTTAAATAACGTTAGCAGTATTACATCATTTCCTCGTAATGGATATGGGGAGATCTATGATAAAATATTTTATATTAATAACAATGCTTGACGTTGTACATTCCCCATATTATCGATAATAAAAATTGATTCTCCGCATTGTATAAAATGGCTCTTTATTATGTTATAATTAATCTCAATATGAGATTCTGTAAAAAAATATGGAACATATGTTTACGTAAAGGAATCTGTTTTGTACCGTTTACACGATTGATTATACATATTTTCATTACAAAATAATTTTATTTTAGATAAAAATGCTATAGTTACATATAATTACTTTTGTACAATGTTAATATATTCAAGCTTAGCTACTTACGTGTCATTTTATTTATCATATTTCGGAAATTTCATTTTTAAATAAAATAGGAATTATTCATCAACACAAAATTAACATATCTATTTTTATAAAAAATTGTAAATACTATTTGTGTGTAAAAATAATAACAGATGAATATTGTATCTTTTTTACTAATAGAAAAAACTAAGATTAAATATATCGAAAGTGTTTATATTAACGTAATTGGTACAGTTTGAGCGAATAAAAATTAAGCATCAATTTGAAACTTGGAATTGAAACTCCAAATTTCTGAGTATCCTTGCTATTATGATCAAATTTAATGCTTGGCGGTTTAGATTTTATATATTTATCAATCTTCATTGTCTTTAGTTCTTCAAAAACTATTTTCTTCTTTGTCATAGCTGTATGTATGTACATATATATATTTGTGAAAAATAATTTTCATATATGTACATATATATATATGTGTGTGTATATAAAGATTAGTTTTACAAATCACACAATTGAATATTTCATATCACCTCACATGTACAAAATATATTGCACAAAATACAGCTTTCCTTACGTCAAATTAATGTGCATATGTAGAAAACAAATCTGAAATACAAGAAAATACAAAAGTAGAATTACAGTTACATTTAACAATAACTAATGAAAATCTTGTATTCATGTTTTGTACTTTTGGAAGATGACGTAGCATTTTATAGGATATCAGAGATCTGAAATATAAGAAAACACAAAAATAAAGTATCACAGTTACTTATTTAACAATAACCGTGTAATGAAAATCTTGTATCCATGTTTTTGTACTTTCGGAGGATGACAGCGGTTTATATATCTATTACATATGTAATATTTACATATGTATGTATTTACACATAAAATACCTTTTATATTATATATAATTATATATATAAACACACACACACACACACACACACACACACACACACACACACACACACACACACAC